ACTTTCAGCGTGGGCCTCAGTGTTGAACAGATCTCCCAGTTCTTTATTAACCCTAATTGCTCTTATAGCATGAAAAAGAATCTTATTCCTAACAAACCTAATTTCTCTTAAAGCATGAAAAAGAATCTTATTCCTAACAAAATTCCCAGTCCTGGGAATTTTATTAAGCATCTTGTGACACTAGGGTAGCACAGGGGCAAAGGGACCATGCTAGAACCCCCAAGGTCTCTGCTTAGATCTTGTGTCTGCAGTGCTGTCTATTAATAGCATTATCATCATCATCATTGTATCCCACCATTTTTATATCTAACTCAAGGCAGCAAACATACCTAATACTCCTTCCTTCTCCTGTTTTCCCCACAACAGCAATCCTGTGAAGGGCTTGGGCTGAGGGAGAGTTACTGGCCAAAAGTCACCCAGCTGACTTTCATACCTAAGGGAGGTCTAGAACTCACAGTCACCTGGTTTCTAGGTCAGCACCTTAACCACCACACCAAACTAGGGTATTCCAGTGAAGCTGCAGTGCAACCACCTTCTCTATAGCTGTCTCTAAAAAGGGAAGATTGGAACCTGGATAGAAATTGTCCAGACTAGTTGGGTCAAGTGATGGGTCCTTGAGGAGGGGGCACAGTTCCTCTTGAAAAGCCAACAAGCAGTCTTAAGGGTGGTAGGTCCCTCCCACTTCGTTTCTCAACAACACTATGTAGTGACATACCTCTAATCATGGAGATTCTATAACTGAGATTCCCCATTTTGTGCCTGTAGGTACCAATAAATCAACAGTCACTTCCCTCAGCATCTCTTGGGTCCTTTTTTTGTGGCAGGGGGGTGCCTTTGAGTCAGTGTTGACTCCTGGCAACTGCCTGGACAAGTCTCTGAAGTTTTCTTGGCAATGTTTTTGGAAGTGGTTTGCCACTGCCGCCTTCTTTCTAGGGATGAGAGAGAGTGACTGGCCCAAAATCACTTAGTTGGCTTCAGGCCTACGGTGGGACTAGAGCTCTTGGACTCCCAGTTTCTAGCTTTAGGCCTTAAGCACTACACCGAACTGCCTCTCCCTTGAGTCTTTGGGTTCACCTTATTTTTTATAATTAAGATTCTTTTAATTCTAATTGAGAAACAGGTATACTGCAAACTAAGCAACAGCATTCAGCATATTCATTTTCACGAATATTGTATTCTATTTGAGTCCCTAAGGCATTTTTACTGGTAAATAGTATGTAACTGTAGCTTGCTGGCCAAGCATATCTGAAAGATTCTTGCGTTAAAGAGGAAGGATTGAGAAATGATTCTTACGTTAAAAGAAAAGCCACAGTTTCTGGTGGGATGCATGGACATTTCATAATTGATATACTATACGTGGTATGAAAATTGAAAGACAAGATAAATACTAAGAACCTTCTGGCTATTTGATATTATTTTTAATTAACTGTAAGACAGACTTTGGAATTGTTTTGTGGGGGGAAATCTGATTATCAGTGGGGGGGGGGGTTGTGTATTTTTTTCCTTTTTAATAGACTGCTACTATTATCCCACAATAACATAAAAACAATGACCTTGCCAACACATCTATGACATTTGATTTCCAGAGCATTTGGGGCACATTCAAAATGGCAGTTTAGCAGCCTCCAGCGGTTGATATTAAAAGTAAAGCATTTATTTATACATTGGTTACAAATCAATTTTAGTAATTAGAGGGGGCTTATAAAATGGCCCTTTGCCACAGATCCCTTCTAATGACTACAGGATACAGGTTAATTATATAGTTGTGTTTCTGGCATTTCCCACAAGCCAGTCCTGAAAGCAAGCTCCAGCCACATTCATTGTTTTTATTTTTAAATGGAAAATATCTAGAAAAGGCTTAATTCTCCTTTTGAAAAAAATGGGCCTTTAAAATGCCTCTCATAATAGTTTGTTGTATCATACACAGTACAATGAATTCCAATTCTGATGTTACTTTTGATGGGACGGGGACAGGTTTGAGCTTTCCTACACAATGCATAAAATTCTTCAGGAATACACAGGAGTCTCTTATCAATATATGCTTATAATCTGGAAGCACTTTTAAGTTTGTTTGTTTGTTTGTTTATCTATCATATTTATATAGCCGCCCATCTCACACAAGATGACTCTGGGTGGCGTACAACAATTAAAAAAATAATTACATAAAAACAGCTACATATAAAAACCAGTAAAAACACACAAAATAAGAGGGGATAAAATTAATAAGGGAGTTATCGTAAAATCTCCCTGGTCCG